GTCGCTGGTTTTTATATTCTGTATAGGCCGTTGGTTGTGAGTGTGGGACGGTCGCGAGCATTTACACTTAACTTAGCCAATCTTCACATTTTAGCACAACATGCATTTTAAAAGGTTTTTCGCCTGCAGACTTGCTCAAGTATTAATTTCCACATGGTTTTTCACTATCCGCTTATCAGTATGTTGGTTACTGTCGCTCCTTTTTGAAACGTGTATTTACCGTTAAATCCGGGTCAAATGAGCTTCCGATCCTTGTTGGTAGTTGTAGCCCCCGGTTGCCAGCGATTCTCTCTCTAGTTTAGCATACTCAGCCCGACTCAGCCTGGCTGTTCCTGGCCCCTAGAAACCATGATTTTATGGGCGCCAGCAAAAACTGTGAATTAGGAACTCCCGGCCTAAGGCCCCGCGTACTAGGCCAAGCCTGGAAAACGCAACCCCAAAACGCGCCCGCGGAGCTCGGCACGCTTAAGCGGCTCTGCCTGCTGCAGTGGAAACGCGCCAGAGGCCGTCAGCTTTAAATGCAATGTAATGTAATAACGTAGCGTCTTAGCATTTACCGGCGCGGTGTTGGGTGGTCAATTTTTAAATTAACTGCTGGCAGGAACGATTATCCATCATGCTCGTTGGTTAATAAAGCTTGGAGTACTGTGTGAAGTCTTGCGCAAACTGGCAGCAGCTCCGGTCCAGTCTGTGATATGAACTCCCCACACCAGCAATCTCAAGTGTTCAGGCACTTGTACTTTGAGCCAAGTAGACGCCGGGCAAGATTTTCTGCAAATTTGAGAGAGAAGGACATTTTTAGAGTTGCCGTTGGGGATCTGACCTCACTTTCAGAGACATTCAGATAGGGGGATGACACCCTAATTGCAAGAATAGGCGAAGCTGCGCTTCTTCCTTATGCTTCTTGAATCTATATAATGCGCGACTCAAGCACAACCGGTGGAGTATAAATAGATTATCTGTGTCTCTGTAGAAGGTTTTTTTAGATTGTAGCTATTCAGGATGTATTTATTAAGTTCACCATTTTACAGGGATTTGGATTTGTGTATTAGGGATTCTACCACAATTTATTTGCACCTTGAATTATGAATGCAACCAGCGTTGGTTAAAAATGACTCATTAGATCATGACTAGATTATTAGAAATGACTTTCTTCTCTTTGAGCCTACTAATGAGAGATTTGAGTGGAATGGGTTTCTTTATGTTACGACGACACAGCCCACACTTTATAGAGTTCAGCAGTTAGACAACCACATCGCTCTTTTTCAATGTGGAAGAAAACAAAGGAGATTCTTGTCGACTTCAGGAGAAACGACACCCAACACCTCCATCAGGGGGTCGCTGCTGTGGAGCAAGTGAGCTGGCACCACAATTCTTGGGGGTGCACCATCACTGAGGACCTCTCCTGGAGTAACAAGCACCCACGTTCATCACCAAGAAAGCCCAGCCGCCTCTTACTTCATCCGCAAACTAAAGGAGCAGAGCTTCCGCCCCCCCATTATCCCCTTGCTCTCTCTCTACCGAGGCGCATCGGAGCTATCCTCAGCATCTGCATCACGGTGGGTTCGGAAGCTGCACAGCATTGAACCTGAACCAAGCTGAAGGGACTCCTCAGGCGCCTCACTGCCCATAGTGAACACTGCTGAGAGGATCCGCTCGGTGCCTCACTCCCATCACTCCGTGGGACCTCTACCAAACACCGCCTCACTTGCCAAGCACTCAGCATGTGGGGAGCGGGTCCATAGCACACTCCAAATCGAGCTCCACCAGACTAAAAGAACCACTTTTTTTCACCAGGCGCTGTCAGGATGCTGAACCTCTCTCATTTGCTATACTGACGTATGTTTCTATGTCTGATTATGGATGGGGTATAAATATATAAGTGGGTGTACGGCGAGTGTATGTAGCCAAGTATATACATTACTTTATGAATATTATATATATATATTTTTTATTCCATTGGATTGTGAGAAACAGCATTTGTCGATCTCTTTACCCCAAACACTGCGCTCCTACCAAATAAATTGTTTTTGTTTGTCTGTTATAAACTTGCTGGATTGTTCCACCACTATTGTTAATGTTTCCTCTGTTACTAGTACATTCCCTCTCGTAACTGTATATACGGACATGAAACGCATAATGAGGCAAAATAAAAATGAGAAGGGTTCTTTCCATTCATATTGCTCCTTTATACATCTAACTGCAAAGACGTGTTTTATTGTAACCGGTGGAATGTTTCAACCATCTACCAGCTAAAAGGGAAATTACCCTGAAACACAAAGGAGTGCTGTCTCCACCTTGAAGGAAAAAATATGTACTTTACCGAGGATACACAATCCAAAGATTAAAATGAATCACAACAGACATCACAGATTAACCTAAGATCATCCACCTGGTAGATAGAGTATACACTGATAACAACAGACAATAAGAACAAACAAAATAAAGAGCATACAAAAACAAGAAACAAAACAAGAACATATAACCACCAAATCAGAAACAATAAAAATATAAATCAACAATACAAATAACCCAACAAATAACAACATGATAGAGCTATGAACATTATAAAAAGATATTTAAGCAAGGATATTAAAAACAAACACACTAGAATCAGAAACACACATAAAAAAATCAAAAAATCTAAAGATAGTACACACAAATAACAACAATACAGCACAGAAGAGAAAAAACAAAGAGATAGATAGAATATCACAAAGATAAGACAAGAAAATAAATACAATAAATACAAATAAGATAGAAAATCATATAGGCAAAAAAAAAAAAAAAGATGACTGAACGAGAGAGAGACATAAAATAATATACATAGATCAAAGAATGAGAAACAAACAATAGAGAAAAATGACAACAAAAATAAGAACAACATAGAGCGACGAGTAGAACTCAACCACCACAGACAACATCTCAACAAAGAACAAGACTAAAGACACAAACACAACACAACACAAACACACACACACACACAACACACACAACAACAACAACAACACACACAAACACACAACACAACACCACAACACACACAACAACACACACACACACCACACACAACACAAAACCAACCAACACACAACACCAACACACCACACACAAACACAACAACAACAAACACACAACAAACAAACAACACACAACAACACACACAAAACCAACACACAAACACACAACACAACACAACAACACACACACACCACAACAAAAAAAACAACACACAAACACAACAACAACACACCAACCAGTTGAGAAACCAAAACAAAAATTGAACAAGACATATTACCATTATATAGAATAAATGTAAGATAATATATGGTTTGAATATACATAAGAGAAGATGTAATAGGAAGAGTCTTAATAAACCATAGATCAGATATACATATAGAAACAAATAATAAGTGGATCAGGACAGATTCATTTGGAGAACACAGACAAATGATTAACAGACTATATTTAAGAATGAATTTAAAAAGGTGAATAACAGACTTATAGTGTTTTAATAATGATACACACATATAACGAACCACATTACTCTGTTTTACAAAACATATCTTATCTGGCGCAGGTACTTGGAGCTTGCTGTTCAACTGGCTGCCTCTATTCCTAGTAATTTTTTTTTTCCCACTTAGCAGTTCTGGGATTTTTTTCCGCACAATAACAAAATCAGCATGTGTGTGTGCTGTTTTTGAACAGTGCTTTGTTACTGACCCTGGCCCTGAGGCCCAGGATGAGCTGAGCCCTCTGACTGTAGCTCATCAGCTCTGGGAACCAGGGTTCTGTCCACCATGGTAACAAACTCCTCCAGGCTTCCCATAGCGGTCCACATGTCCCCGCCGGCCACTGCACTACTGCCACACTGCGGGCTGACAGGAGGCTGCCTCTCGGGCGGGGCCAGAGGCGCACATAGTGGGCTGGGGACCATTACCCTGGAGTTAGGGGGGGGCAGAGAAGTTGATCAACGCTTCATCCATTCAAACTCGTCTGATTCAGCGCTGTTATAATGAGGATTATAACAGGCAATTCTGCATTGTTCAGCAGCAAGAGAGTGTTTAAAACACTGATGGACAACAGGAGTAAACAGCCACAGGTGTCCCAGTGACAGGTAAAACTATAAAAACCTCCATTGGTTGCATTACAGTTTATAGTTAATTCCCTTAAAAACCACATGAGTACTGTGCAATATGACCTTATACGTTTCTAAAAAATTATGATTTTGAACATATACAGATTCATTTAACTTTTGCCAATAATAAACAAACAGACATGATCCCTAGTATTTATTTAAATAACCAGTGCGCATATGTTTTTAGTGATAAAACCCATCAGCTGGAGGAGATGGTCGAGATTAGAAGCCACTTCCGGAACATAAATGTTGTTAATAATATCACAACAATTTATTTACTGTTTAGAGAATCTAGAATGACCACTTCCTGCTAGTGGAAGAGAATTATTGAGCTTTGATCAAGTAAACTTACAATTTAAAAAGGATGACGGCTACATAATGTAGGTTCTCCTAACATCAACACATGTTCCAGGAGGTTGGCTATGATTATGTTTGCATGGAAAAAGGTAAACAAGACTTCTTAATATTTGGCGCAAGACACACAGGTTAGAGGCAGTTTCCCAATCTTTTAAGCTCATTGTTGTTTGTTTAAACAAGAGAGAGCAGTTTACTCCACAACTTTGCCTATAATTCCATCAGCAAACTGTGCCAACAACACCTGACACTGTGCATGCTGGCAGAGAGCACTCTTTGCATGAGTGGATTTGGATTTTATATTTGCAAAGTGTCAGCTGAAACACTTGACAGACAGAGGTGCCCCAGGTGCCGTGACAAACAGCATCCATCAGGCTGTTAAACAAACCACATCCGCCGAGCAGCCATTGCATTTCTGGATTGAAGGAAGCTCAGAAGAACTACGAACCCCGACCAGCGACTTAGGGCTAACTTACAGGGAGCTCGGTCCCTGGTGGCGGGATGCAACATGAGACAGCACAGACCGCTACAGTTCACCGTGGATCAGGTTAGCATGCATAAAAACCCTACAGTGTGTATTAACAGAATATTTTGAAGTCAAGGGAGTAAACTCACTGATCACAGAGATCACTACAAGCGCGGGTTTTCATTGCACGCACCTCGATCAGATCCCCGTTTTAATGTTCCATTAGCAGCTGACAGGAACAACACGAGCAGACGTGCGCCCTCGGGCTGTAGCGAGCAGGGAAAAATATGAAAAACCGAATCAATTAGTAGGCTGCTGATGTCTCAATTCAGGAGAGCATCCTTCAGAGGTATCCCACTCACATGAACCGCGAGCAGTTTGTCGGGAAAGCATGACAGGCTGCTGTTAACGGCGAGGAAGCGAGGTTGGAGACAGAACACAAGGTTTCTGGTCTCATCCGCCTCAGTCCAGATTCCCGACAAAGCCCTCTTTCCTGGTTGGCTGAGGAAGACCGGATCTACCCAAGCGATCCGGACTTCCTGTGTTACAACACCAGAGGCGTCGAAGCTACGGCCCGAGTTGTAAGTGACGGGTGGGTATGGTTGACAGCTCTTTAAGTTAGGCGCCTATTTAAGACACTATATCTAAACACACTCAAATGACCCGTAAGCAGGCCCGGTTTCTATGGGGGTGCATAAGGGTGCATTGCACCCTCAGTTGAGTCGTTATGCACCATCATTTGAAAAATGAAAAGTAAAAAAAAAAAAAAATCTAAAGTGAAAGATATTACATATGTAATAACAATAATTGTAGTAATAATAATAAGAATATAGTCAATGGTGGACATCAGAAAATGGTTATAACAACCAGCTCTTATCGCCAGCAGTAACACTGCATCTACTGCAGGTAATAACAGTTCAGATCATGGGGACATTACGTTACCCGCGGCCACTGTTGTGGACACCAACGTCCTCCCGCCCGACTCGCCAGCTTTGCCCGCCTCGCCCACGGAGGCGGAGCAGCCGCAGCCGTCTTCGTTGCCCCAAACACCGCCACCCCTCAGCGGCCCGCAAGTGCCAGAGGACCTCGGCAAAACAGAACCTGCCCAGGTATATTTAAAAAAGTACCCAACTCGACTGTACAGTGGAGTAAGGCGCTCATTTTGCAGCTCATGGTTTCAAAACAGAGATTGGCTGGAATATTCATGTAAAAACGATGCCATCTTCTGCTATACATGTTGATATTTCGGTTCAAGTACGTCAGATGCCTTCACCACAACTGTACCAGAGTACCAACCGCTGTCTCCTGGTACTCATCTGAGTAACTCACTCACTAAAAATGAAATACTATATGACAGTAAAACAAGAATACAGTTTAAAAGGGGAGTGATTTGTAAAATATCCATAAGGAAAAAGTAAATCTGTTTACACTTCTGTTTCATATGGGTGTTGAGATGTATCCATAGATCTCTTCATTTTGCTCTCAAAGTGCACCAGATTGATGCTTTTAACTTCAATATAAAAAAAAAAAAGTCGTCCCGGGGGAGCACGCCCCCGGACCCCCCGAGAGGAAGTGAGGACCCCCCTAGAGGGTGTTAGGTCCACTCCCCACTTACAAAAATAGCACTTTACCACTGCACCCTCTCTAATCTCAGATGCACCCCGAGTAGGTTCCGGTTCGGAATCGGTTCCAACATTTCGATTCCAACGGCATCGTTTATACCTCATTCACACCAACGCAACTCCGGTTCAAGTTCCGTGCTAGAGCTTTTCAGGTTCAGAACCGGTTCTTCGGTTTAGCTCCGGCTCTTTTCACACTGCCCAGAGTCCGACTGGTGCTGCATCATTGCGTCATCGTTTGCGTCATGACGTAACCGTTTGCGTGCCTGCTTCATAAAGCCAGACCGCGCGGAAACCCCTCACAGCTGACACAGACAACAACAACAATGGCCGATTGTGCTCCAGCTTCCTCTGTACCTCTTCGGAAGACCAGATTCCCAGTAGGTAGCTGGTCTCTTCAGTGGACCACTGCTGCTTGTTAAGTTTCTCCATCGTTGTGTACAAACTGGATAAAACGCCGGCTTTTTGTTGTTGTTCAGGAGTTGATCCCGCCCCTGCCCCTGCCCCCGCCTCAACGTAAGCGTGACGTATGCGGTGCTTTTGCTCTAGCCGGACAATTTTTTGGTGCTTGAAACGAACTGGATTCCGGAGCTAAGAGGCTGCTCCGCTGCGGTGTGAACAGGAAAACCCGGTGCTTTTCAAGCTCCAGCTCCGAACCGGCCCTGAAACACCGTTGGTGTGAATGAGGTATGCGTTGATTACCGAACCAAGACGCCAATGGTTTAGGGCAAATAAAACTACTGCGGCCCTCTGCTGTGTTTTAAACTCCAGGATAGTGGTTTTTAATCCCTAAGTGAAGGCTCAAAACATTTTGTAAGAATTATGCTGTTCTCACCTCTCTCTACAAATTCTGGCAAACTGCCCTTAAGCAAGGCCCTTCATTTCCCAGCACAAGGCTCAGGGTGTATTAAACAGCTTCTGAGTGTAACTGTTAAGCAAATACAAATAGCATGAACGCTCGTCCAGAGTCTCCTAAATCCATAAGGGTTAACAAAAAAATATTGAAAGAATACTTGGAGGCAATACCTGTTGCTGTTGCCTGAGGACCCCAACAGTTCTTTGTGTTCAAGCATGTGTACGTTTGTAAAAAAAAAACTTCTCCAATAAACTTTCGTTAGAAAAGGGTTGGGAAATATTGCCAGCAAAAGTTGGCATAGCAACAAACGCACATCTCATGTCCTACATGAATCCACCTTTCATACCACGGTGCGAAAAGAGTCTGCAGGGATATTGTAAATATACTTTATATGATATCATCTCATTTACATGCATGTTACAGTTGCTGCATACTTTAGGCTTCACTAAGTGTTACCACAGAGATGTTCGCTGAAGGGGGTAGAACAAGGAATGCAAACAGAAAAGAGAGAAGGAGCTGAAGGGACTGGCGGGAAATCTGAACGAGTTGTTTTAATGTTTAATGGAGGAAAAGGAGAGGAAAGAGATGGTTCCTGTGTGACAAACAAACCCAACTCTTCCTCCGTTTGGAAATCTGTCCGTCCAATCCTTCTTTTGTTCCCTTTCTCCTCCATATCAGGATGTTTAAATATCCCCAGAAGCAAAATAACCCTTATTGGTTTAGTTAATTTGTGTTAAAAGCACATCATGGATTGAAATGATTAATCTACTCGAAATTGTACTTTATTCTTTCACAAATATTTAGTATTCATAAGGCTCTACCTAATCACGGTGATTGGAATTGTCACTGCTGAAGTATTCAAACTTAAAAACAATCTCTAAGTCAATAAAATGTAAAAAAAAAGAAGTACATTCTATAGGCACACATAAAACTACAAAGAAAGAAAATATATTTAAAAAAAAAAAAGAACTTTTGCCAATCCAAGTATTACAGGAATTAGAAAGACAAATGCATTTAATGTATTTAATTTACACCCTCCTCGCCTTTGCTTGTTGAGTCTCGCTGTTAAACGGTAATGATAAATACATAGTCCAACAACGTCCCAGAGGAGAGGATAAAGACTTGTAATTTAAAAATCAGCTTTCATGTCCTCCCCCTGAGTTTTCCTCCTGGAGTTTCTCCCCTCTCCTCCCTCAGTGACGTCAACTGCTTTGACGTCTCACAATCGACCTCCTCTTATCAAGGCCGCTGTGGCATAAATGCAGGAAAAACCTTGAAAACACAGCCTGTTAAGAGCACATATTAGTTTTCATAGCAGCAACCTTGGCTAGTGCTGGTCAGATCCTCATCTGGCTGAGCGTGTTGTCTGACTGAATTAGTTCCCTCTCACGTCCACCTCGTGTAGGAGGACTGATCTGTTGCTGACCTCTCTGGGCAGCAGGCTTTTAAAAGAAGCGAGGGGCAGAAAATAGAAAGAAAGCGAGACTGAGTTGTACAATGCTGCACGGCGAAACCTCCCCTGTCCCTCTCCTTGCGGCTTCCTCTGGTCTCCATTCGGCCAATGAAGCCCACCGACACGCCACCTCGTCTTCCCTCCCCTCCATGTCCTCCCCTCAGGAGAAACATGATCCATGAGGTGTCTCTTTACATTTTTCCAGCCCCACTCGTTACAAACAAGCCACAAGAAGGAGCGTGGGTCCACTGAACTTCTGCCGTCCACATGTTTGGCTCAAATCCGCTCACACCACAACGTTCATGACTGTCGTTTTCTACCGTGGGTGCCTAACAGGGAGAGGAAACCTGATTAAGTGAGTGGTGGGATTCATGAATGTGTGGGGGGTGGTGGTGCAAACCAGTAAGAGCGTGGAGTGTTAAAGTTAGCCTCTGCTGTGAAGGGCTGTCGCTGCTGCCAGCCAGTCAAGCCTGTCATGTGTGTGTGTGAGGCAGAGGGAAAGGTAGACTTAAAATGGATTGGGAATGGTAACACAAGACGGGTGTTTTGACTGACTGCGAGGAAAATGGAAAGCTCCCAGGTGGAATGAGTACATTTATTTCTGATTCCTAGTGGAGGAATGTGTTTGTTTGTATTAAAGCTCTGCAAGGGTGGATTCAATCTGGGAATGAGATTCTGAATCTGTTTTGAATGGGAACCATGTTCAAAGAAGATCCAGGAGTTTATTAAGAAACGTGAGTTCAAAAGAAGAAGTTGTGAAGTTTGCTGCCCAGCTTGCATCAACCTCAGCTATTAAACATGCGCCAATACAAGTAAACACAGACTACTGATAACCCTTTTTAAATAATCTTATACACTTTCCTTTTGATTAAATTGTTAGGTTTATAAAATGATAAATAAAATAGCCTTTCCATATTATACTGTTGGACTTCAGGGGCCGTATTCACAAAGGATCTTAGGGCTAAAAGTAGCTCCTAACTGGCGAATTTAGGAGAAACTCCTAAACATAATGGGCGTGTCAGTCTTAAATTTAGGACTCCTAATTTTATTCACTAAGAGCAATTCACAAAGTATTTTAGGCCTAAAAGTAGCACCTAAGTTTAGGAGAGCTTAAAAGTCCTCGAGAGGACTCCTAACTCAGTAAGACCTATTCACAAAGAATCTGAAAAACGCTGCGAGACGAAATGTTTTGGAGACAATGGAAGACTGTGAATTGATCAAGAGATATAGGCTAAATCGTGAGGGTATCAAACTTGTTGTGGAATTAGTGCGGGATGCAATAACATCCCCGACTAACAGGAATAACCCGATTAGTCCGGAAATAAAATGTTTGGCAACATTACGATATTTAGCAACAGGGAAAATTCAACTTTGCAATGCCGCCGATTTAGGAATATCACAACCATCAGTCAGCCGTGCCATAAACCAAACCATCAACGCGCTCTCTAGACCACATATCATCCAACAGTTTATCCGGTTTCCTTTGGTACAATCAACAACTACACAGGATCAAAGCCAACTTCACGGCAATTGCAGGTATGCCCGGTGTGGTCGGTGCTATTGACGAGACGCACATAAAAATAATTGCGCCATCAAAAGATGAGGACGTGTTCGTCAATAGAAAGAAAGTACATTCCATCAACACGCAGATTGTTTTCATTCAT